TAAGATGTTTTGCTAGAAGATTGGTAAGTGTGGATATGTAATTTTATACTTTTTGAAGGTTTTTGTATGTTTTCAATTTCTATATTTTTCATTTACTTGTTTGCATATATTGAAGATTGTATTAAGATGAATGTAATTCATCGGGGGGGGGGAGGATGTTTTGGCCTCCTCGTGATTGCGGTGATTTGTGCCCAGAGGGCGCACCGCACAAAAAGTTAGTTGCGTTACAGAACGTAAGGGAAGCGGACACGCCAAAATGTTGGGCGTATTACCGCTAATTGAGGTAATTGCATCGTATCTGTCAGGTGGCAGAAAACTAGTATGATGTATCAATTCACTTGCCAGGTGGCAGAATATGTCTATCATGTACATGCCAGGAGGCATAACGCTTGTAAACATGCCAGGTGAAATACGACTTGTAAATAAATTGTAAATAAATGTACAGTAAAATATCTTGGTGCAATAGATCAAGGAACAAGCATCAACAACCTTCTGATCATTTGGATACGTACAAATGTCTTCTGTCGAACTTGGATCCTGAAATTTCTTTAATCTGTGAACTATGTTTCATTAGATGCACTTTGATGTCCAGAGATTGCACAAAGCTTCTTAACAGTCTGTGCATAATAATAATAATTTATGGATTTATGGCTATTATCTTAAAGTTCAGCTAGCGTCCACTGTACACTATTGGTAATGTATTAAAAGACTGGTGACTAAAGATGTCGTTTCATAAAATTTTGTCTCACTTCTTTCAGTTGTTGATGAATATAAGACTTGAATTACACTAATTTTACATTATTTCATTTCATTTCTCATTCTTATTATACTTATGCCTATTTCCCACACATGCTTTTAAGGCTTATTTGAATCCTAAATAAATAATTTCCACATACACTTGATGCTTAACTAAGGGCAGCACTAGACATTTTTCAGCCCAGTGCAGTCTCCTGTGGGTCTCTGTTGCCAAGTACCTCAGTAAATCCTAAAAATTTTGCATCCGAGTGCCTTCCCTAAATTCTAAAGATTTTGCCATCATGTAATGTGGCTCAGTGCTTCTTTAAATTCTAAAAATTTTGCATTTCCTAAATTCTAGTGCTGGTAGTAGTAGTATAGTTCTTACATATGGAAAGAAATTTCTGTTAAATTTCTCCTCGTTAATGCACTCAACACTTCACAGTGCAGTTAGCTGAAGTCTAATTATCGGCAAGCATTATGTCCACATATAAGACTACCATGTTCTTTGGTATTCAATTACTGATATTAAAAAAAAAAAAAAAATTCTTTGATATCACTGCATGAGACATTTCTTAAACTGTCATGTGTTAATACTCATGCAGCGATGAAAACGAAAAATGATAATGAAGTGCCAGGTTGGCTTCAGGGAATGAAAGTTATTCAATAAATCATTAATACTTCAATGTATAATGTTTCAGCTTGAGATGTACATCAAGCAAAAAGGCGAGGCCGAATCACACAAATTTATGCTAACAAATGACTGTTTCTTCGATATAGAGGTATTTTATTTAGTGCTGAAGTGAAATTAAGAATCGGGGCTCTTTACATTTTATTAAATGCACATGCGTAAAGCATACAAAAAAAATTCTAAAGTTAAAAAAAAGAAAGCTGGTGGTCTGGATTTTAAATCATTCCAGATATTGGACAGCTGGATTTTGGAATTTGCACTGTAAATATCTGAATTTCCAGAACGATTTTCAAGAATATTAACATATTAACCAAGCATACATGATAATATTAAAATCAATCTTTTCACCCCAAGAATAGAACCTGGGCCTCCTAGGTGAAAGCCAGGAAGATTATGAAATAATAATAATAATAATAATAAACTATTCAGTATATGCCTTACATTCCTAAAGGTAATTCCTTTAAAAAAAATCACTGAATTAATTCCAAAATGGCTAGTTATGTAACAAAAAATATTAAAATCAAATTTGATGTGATTTTAATATTTTTCATTATTGCATAAAATCAGGCTATATAGGTTGTGCCCATTTCAGAGTTGTTCAGATTACGGGTCATTAATGAAAAATAATTAAATTAAGATTAAAAAATACAAGAAAAATAAAACTGAATTGAAAAAAAGCATGTAAAAGAAATTTTACATAAATTTTACTTTTCTTTTTGATATTTTTATACAAAAATATCTATTAAATTTATATACAATAACTTTTTATTTCTTTTTCAGAGAAATATAATTTTCTATTAAAAATAAAACCTAAACAAAAAATTATTTTTAACATTTTCCAATCATCTGTTTAATAAGTCACAAGAAAATCACAAGCTTAGAAAGAAATGATAAGATGAAAAATAAGATGAAAATTACAATTTTTATTATTGTGAAATATTGTTTGGTAATATTAAAAATTTCCAACAACAACAATCTTATCTGATTAAATCAGAATAATTTTCAGTTAGTGATATATGTTTGGCAACTTTTCGAAAAATATTCGGTGACAGTCAACATAATGTGGCAGCTTGAAATATGTTAACAGTAATATCATGATGTTGCCGAAGACATGCATGGGATTACTTCTGAAGTACAATTTTAATTCAGTCTCTTCCCATCACCCTCCCTCCATATAAGTAACAGAAAATATTTTGTACATCCACTGTTTCCCTCTGATACAATGTCATTTGCTACATATTACTTCCAAATTGAAATTTTAAACTTTTGCAGTTTAATGGGCAATAGTTAACAGGAGTTTCCTTATTGACATCTAAGAAATTACATGGAATTCAGATGATGGCAAATTTTAAAAAATATAGTGCATAAATTTTTTTGCAGAAATAAGCAATCTTACATTTTGAAGCTAAGTCATGCACAGTAAAGATCAAATAAATAAAAAGGCAAAGTAGTTTCAGGAAAGCGATGCAGTCAGCCTATTATTTACCTGTTAATTATGCAGTTTAAGTTTCAAAAACTATTTTTATCATATGTATGCTTCATTATCATTTAAGTTATACGAGGTTTCATAGTTGTTCCTTTAATATCTGGTTGTAACTGAAGTTTTCCGCCGAAAAATGTTCTTAACCACTTGCATTATGACTAAACTTCACGGTTGCGGTGCCGTGCGCTACAATATAACAAGCAGTAAAGTATCTCATTTACGTCGCTCCGCGTCTGCGAGTACAGTCCAGAGCTGTAACTCGAGAAATAAACAATCTCATTGTTAGGCGATGTCTGCACCCCGTTATTTTCATTTTCGCGATAAATGCCTATCGACATGGTGTTCACGTCGCTCGTGGTTTGAGACAAAAGCATCTCGACGTGCGTTGCATGTCTTTTTAGCACAAGTGGTTAATAAAGTCAGGGGAAAAAAAAACTTAGAGGTTTCAGATTTTAAATTACGTCCAAAGGGAAATTTGTTTAACATTTTCTGTGTTCCCTTTATTTATTAAATATCATGTTCTACATACTCAAAATATAAAATTAAGTTCAACAGCAAATTAATTTTAAAATGAGCATATCTTTAGAATTTCCGATACAGAATCTCGCACGCTGAAGATAATTTTTTTTTTTTTTTTTTTCCAATTTCCAGATAGTGTTATTCCTCACTTTGAAATCGTAAAGTTTGTTAATCAAAAATTTGTTAAAGTGTTACAAAATATGAAATCAATAATAAAACAAATTACAAATTTGGGCTTCCAAATGCCCACATTCTATGGAAGATTACGCTATTCAAATTTTGATGGCTCTATATACCGTTGTTTTATCACAATGTGAGAAATAGACATACATTTATGCAGATTTTTCATTATTTAATTTCTTTAAATATAAGACAGAGTGATAATATATGGTGGCAACGATTTGAAAAGTGATACAGCCTTTTAAAGTTTTCAGCATAAAATGCCAAAACAAAATTAATAATCCTTCAGGGAAAATTGCCCCTTTGGACTAAAAATGAAAGCAGTATTTTTAGTATGGGTAGTAATTACCACCCAAATCTATGACTTTCTGCCATTTTTTTGGTAGTTTTTCAAAGCCTTCGACCCAGAAACTTGGTAAACCGCGAGTCCAAAAGTGTATCATAATGAACCAGCAAGATGTCACTGTAGGTGTGAAAAAAGGTAAAAGTCTGAAGGACTGATTTCAGGGTTATATGGTAAGTATGCCAAAGATCTCATTCGAGTCCATACAGAATCCAGCCAGTGAATGCAGACACATGTGGTCGCATTATCTTGATGGAACATTACCTTTTTGCTGTGGAACTCAATTCGACGCTTTTCACTGATAGCAGCATCAACACCAAATTACCATCTACCTTACTGTCGAGGGTTTTACCTTTTTCTTGCGTCAGCTCATGCAGCACCCAATGACTTGACTTGTATGTCATGTTCATCTTGTACGATCATGACACTAATGTCTGACTCCTTAGCAAGCTCTCAAGTGGTTGAATACTGATCTTCTTCCACTAGTTCTCGCAGGCAAACCTCATTAACGTTAATAAGCCGGCCAGAGAGCTCTGCTTCGTAATGTTATAGTCCTTGGTTTTAAACTTTCCAAACCAAAACTTCACAGTGTCATATGATACAACATTTAGTACCTAAAGTTGTACACATTACTTGGTGACATTCTGACTTTTTGCAACAGAACTGGAAGTAAATGATGGTTCTAATCTGGTAGCATGATAGTTTCATTTCAGACACCTTATACTTAATGATAGCGATATTTTTTAACAAATTTCGCAACACAGTGTTCTAAAGTAAATTTCTTTCTTTAAAATGCCAAAAATCGTTTGACAAAATATGATTAAACACGTCAATGTGAACTGTTTGCACAGACTATATTTGCAGTGGCAGGAAACTTTCATTAAAACCCGATATTTCCCGCCAATGTAATATCACAATACTGAATGATACTGAATAGCTATACACCTTGAATTACTATAGGTGTAAAAGCGAAAAACATATAACGCATCATAAATTTCATTAAAATATTTATAGAACAAATATAACATAAAAACAAGTTATTCACTTACTTGTGATATCTGAGCTAAGCAAGTATTTGCTGTTCCATATTGTAGAGCAAAGAGAAATGTTAGTTTCTCCTATATAATTAAAAAATATATATATTTTTCTGTTTAACACAATATATTACTAACTTTTAAGATAACTTTTATAACTTTTTAGATATAGTGAAGAAATGATGAGTTCTACATAAATTAATCAACAGTGCAAAAATATAAGTTATTAAGCATTGTTAACCTTAGTTTTTATTTTCTTGAATAAACTTTTTGTTAGAGAACAGTACAGAGCAGAAAAATGTTGAATATTAAAGTAAAAAACGGAAAAGTATACGTTCTGTGGACTGGAATATTCTTACACAAAATATTTTTTCAAGGTATGAATGAGTATACTTATAAAAATTGAGACTTTTCATCATGTAACTCTCAGTACTTTGAAGCTATTGAATATTACCTAAATACACTTTTGGAGAAATGATTTTGCTTTTTTAATTTTTACATGCTATGGTCTAGAAATACAGATCAGCATTTACTTGTATATGCTCTACAGTAACAGCTAGCTTTCATTTAGCAGAAATAATCTTTGCTAAGCTGGTAGCAGAAACTAGAAAAAGGCCTTTTAAGATTGTCAGAAATTAATAGAAATACTTTAAATGTCCTATTACATAATAATAATTCAATAAATTAGGAAATGTCCTTAATAAATAAAGTTGTATATATTTTAACTAAAATAGACAGAATTTCAGTCAAAGCCTAAAAAGAAAATATTACTTTAAACAACGTGTAATTATAACTGCTGAAAAAGAATAAGTTTATTTATTATTACATCTGCTTGAAGAGTGCCATTTTATCATTTGGTAGGGCAGTAAACATAATCTAGACTTTTATACACAGAAATAAATTAATAAGAAGCCTATAATACAATATATCAACTACAAACAAAAAGTGCAGGGGTTCTCAAGCAGAGAGGAATTTTATAGTTTTGGGGGCGTGTAATCAGCCTATTACTTACCTGTTAATTACGTAGCTTTAGTTTATGAACATAAAAAAACTATTTTGAGTTTTGGTATTTACCAACATTTTCTATATTTTTTTTACTTAATTTATAAAACTAATTAAAAAACTAATCTAAATTTATATACATGTATTTTTTTCAAGTTTTGGAAAGGGGGAAAATGATCAGCAGCAGTGTGAAAGGTGTACAAAGGAGAACCACAGTCCTTGAGAATGAAAGAGAGTCCAAAAAAGAGATACTACTATTAGAAGTAAGAATAAGCAATAGGTACTGCATACTACTGTACTTTCCAACAAGGAAGTTACAGTAACATCTATTCATTTACAGAATATTTTAGTTCCACTTGCAAACAAAGTAAAACACAGAGAAAAAGAATATGAACAAAACATACATTAAAAATTTCAGGCCAGTACGATTTGACAATAAAACAGCTCCAAAGAACGTGGACCTTCGATGTAACAGATTTTTAACAATTTATATTCCATTTTCTGGCAGCATCTATCCATCATTTATTTTCATGATCAGTTTACCCAAACTAGATCATACAGCTGCAACATGGGAACAGCTGACTGGAAACCTGTTACATAAAGCATATTTAAGTCAAAGACTGAAAAGAAAATTGGTAGTAAAATGGCTATTATGATTCCAGACATTTACATTCCTAATGATGTTGCTGATAATGCTTTCATACTGGTACTTATGCATTTCTTTTCTTCAGTTACATTAATATAGGGTTGAAAGCAAAATACTACAAGCTACTGGGCACAAATAGCTAAAGCAACAATGACAGAAGTAGAAAAGGAATATAAGTGTAAAACAAAAACTTTTATAAGAAATAATTAATATAAAACTTAATCAGCAAGATTCATTAACACAATACTTAGATTCTTAATTCAAGGACAATCAGTTCATTATCTTAATTTAGCTCTTTAGTTCTGTAAGCTCTTACAGGATGACCAAAATAAAACTGGCTTGGAAACTCTATATAATTCAGACACTAAACTTACCTTTGTTAATGAACAGCAGAACTGCTTTTCACTTGAGAGTTTGGTTTCTACCATTTTGTTGCTAAGATTTTCAATGAATACATTGTAGGAGGTTCTGTATATTTAAAATCTTGAATGAACAGTTCAGTGCATGTTTTTCATGAATTGAGCTTCACATAACACAATAAAGAACCCATGCTATTTTATCATTAGCAATATTTTGCGTTTCATTCAACTGATTATCAAACACTATCTAGTTGCTAATGATCTCTTTGCTGCTTAGAGTGTGTTTCCACAAAATTCCAAAAACATGTTTTATGGCTAGTTTTATTTTTGTTACCCTGCTGATATCTTATTATTATCTTAGCCTTCTTGGGCAGATATTACAACAACACCTATTAAATTGTATGAGTTATCTTTTCAGAAATCCTCACAAAAAGACACATTCCTTAAAAAGTATAAAAATGCTGTGAATCATCTAATATACAATATAAAAAAGTGTAAGAGATTGCTTAAAAATGGTATTTGATATAGATGACAAAGGAGTTACTGAAGGAATAAACAATATTATAATTACCAAAGGAGTAAAATTATTACAACTGTTAAAACAGTTACACAAGATAAAACCCTTTGTAGAAGCTTGTATATGACTCTAAAAGCTGATATTAATCTTATAGGAACATAACAGAAAAAAATTAAAACTAAAACCAATCAGGCACAACCTATATGTCACATTAAAGTAAAAGTAATATGCCAAATAACAATTATTAGAAGTTCAAACACCAGAAATCCATGTTAATTTTTAGAATTTGCAGTACTAGTTCAGAAGGTTTCACTACAGAACTTAGGGAGTTAGTGTTGCAAATTCTAAAAACTACTGATGGTTAATATCATTTAAACTTATAATAATTACATGTCATATATTGCATTATTTGTTTCACCTTAACGAGTAGAAAGAAAATGCATGACTTCATAAATACACCCACCTGTTTGCACCTTATTTTATGGCTTTTATAACAAATTCAGCTCCCTCTCTATTTTCCAGAGGAATCAGAAAATGTTAAAACCTTTATGTAGACTTCATAAATCTTATTTATATAATGATGACACAGTCTACAAGCACTGTTGGCTTGAAAGTATACTCTTAGGCCTTCATCTATTCATAATAAATTAATAAATTTTTTGGATTTTGACACAGTAGTGAAATTTGTCTTTCATTCTAAGCAACTTTGTGCAAAAAGTCAAGATGAACTTGAATAATGAATATAACTTTCAAATGCCAAATAACCTTAAAATAAATAACAATACTGTAGTTGAACTTATTTTAAAATACCGTTCCCTGTAATACTTAAGAGTATTTCTGTAAATTTTCAGTTATTTTATAAATTTTCCACCAATTACTGCTACTTAGTTGATGTTGCCCACTTTAGTAGAAACCTGTCAACACTGTTTACAACAAGGAAGTTATCTACAGCATAAAGTTGTACATGAGATTAATAAAAACACTTCGAAAAAGAAGTATTTAAAATACAGTATAAGACAGTCTCAGTTGTAAGTTTCTGTTGATAATCTACACACATAAACATGTTCTGAGTTGGGGAATAATGTGAAAATTTATTCACTCAGACTGCAACTTATTTTTTATTGATAACTCTACATTTTATGCTCATTTATCACTTCAGTCTGTTTTGCATTCATCTGCGGCACAAGCATTTGCTTATGCACTGCTCTCTGCACTTAACTAGTAAAGTCGAAATTGAATTTTGTGTGAAAATGCATTTGAGGCACCGTTAGAGTCGAAATTACACTTTGTGAATGCATACTAAGCTCAATAGCCACATTTGCTGCAATGGTCTTCCCTTTTAAGTTGACAATCATCTTTAAAATTTTCCTCTGTTGTTGTGTAACTGTTACCTAATTAATTGGTGATTTGTGGGGTTGACCCTTAAGGATATTAATTTAAATTTTTGTTTTGTTACACTAGTGATATTTAAATTTTATTGTTTTTCTAATTTAATTCTATTTAATTTTTACCCCTCTTTCCTGTAAAGTTAATGAATCTTTATTTTCTGACTCAGGTGGTAATTTTCAGCAATTTATAAATGAAAGAAACTCTGTGCAATAGAATTAAATTTCAGTACTTATAATTTGTTTAAAACTATAATTTTGACAATTTGTAAAACTTCATGTAATGGAAAGATATCAATTTCTAGAACATGTTAAAACTATTTTCTTATCTAAGCTGTAAACAGCATTTTTTACTCTTCAAGGTGACTTTACTTGTTTCAGTTTGTTTGCCATATGTGCAGGTTTGAATTTTTGCATCCTCCTGTGAAGCTAACATTCTGAATGTGGTTATTATACAACATATTCACTGTGGCAACGACATTTTGGGATGTTCAGTGACTGTCCCTGTTGGATTAACACTTCAATGCAAAAACTTTTATAAGAAATAATTAATAATTAGAGGAATTCTGTTTTCAAAAATCAATGGAAACAGGTGATTTGACCTCAGCTGGTAGCCATAGAGTACAGCGGTGGAAGATGAATGATTTGTGGCAATTTTGCAAGACTACTGACAATCTTTGCCCTAAGGAGCACAGGAGAGGTGCATGGAAGATTGTAGATGCTTGGCAATCCTCCTCCTCAATTCTTCATCAAGCAAGAGAATTGACACCATGAGAGGAAAAATGTCAGTGGGTGATTCAAAAGAGAGATTTCGTTAGAACTACATGTTTTTTTGGAACCACCTGAAGGAAGCCTACAACAACATGGCAGCAGTGGACCCTCCAGACGCTCGGAGGAGAACTGACCACGGAAGACTGTCATGCCAAAAATAGATATACCAACTAATCATCGTTCCTTCTTTTTATTTCATTCCAGATATTTCATAAAACCTTAATCAATGGCTTCAAGCTCTGCAATGTGTCAAACAGAAGTCACTTTGTCTGAAGTAATTATCACCACCTCTAATTTCATTCCTCTCCTCCAGTGTTCCGGTGCGTCGGAACAGAACAACTCAACCTCACTCTTTCGCATTTAGAACTATGCCAAAGAACATTTAATTCAGTTGAACTGTCAGA